CCGAGCTTTCGATCGATTGGGAATGGTTACAGAAGCCAGACCGGCGTTCGTCTGCTATTTATCGTGAAATACAAAACTCGGGGTGTGCGTCAAGGAAAAACAAGACTAAAAGAGCGTGATGCATTTTACAGCAGGCGCATTGCAAATAACACATTGGTAGGGTCGTGAATAGTAGTAGAAACAAGAAAGTATCGAACAACGCATACACGATACGATCGATCTGTGGTCTCTCTCCCTTCTCGAGTCATTCTCTTATGTTCCACAGTATATTACAATATATATATATTTTTTTCTTTTCGACTCAATCCCGTGAAATTTTAATCGATGCTGGAAATAATTACACGCGCGAAAGGAACTCCCACGCGGAAATTCCAAATTTCGTTGGCCGATCATCGTTGAATTTCATCGTGACGTGCACGTCCTCCAATTAACGATAATTAATTAATCGGCTAACGACCGGATGTTGGCTCGGGGCTCGTGTACACTGATGAACACGGGTCGCGACAAGCTGGATATATTCAATAACGAGACCCCCCCCCCCCCCCCTCGCCCCTTGCGCCGAAACATCTAAAAATTTCAAGAATTCAATTTTGCCGGGAATTATCCGACGCTTGTGCAAATAAAAGTCAATCAGGACAATGTGCGAAAAAAGAACGAAAGCGATGCGTGCGTGTTTACCGTATGATTTGGCAAGATCGATGATTTGAAATATTATCTCGAGGCCTCGTTAACGAGTAATGAATTTCTTATGAATCAGATCTATTTACAATGAATGTTGCGAATGAAATTTCACACAACGAGCAGAGGATCCTAACGAGGATCGAGGATTCGAAGTAAGACACAAATTTTAACAGTTTGTCGATGAATAATGAATCTCATAACGAATATTACTCGATGGTAAAAATTCGAGGCAAGGCAAGAAACTCTAATTATTACAAATTAAAAAAGACATAAAAATTAATTATCAAATTGACGTAAAGAAATATTCAGAGATATACTGGAATTTTACTAACTATATTTTACTATGTTACTCTAAAGATTTCGATTCGAGAATAGAAATCTGAAACGACACGATAGAATTGCGAACAAGCCAGCGACGCTGCGACACGAAGAATTTGTCAACCGAATGGGAAGAGTAGTCGAAGGGGAGACGAGTAAACGAAAAAAAAAAAAGAAAAGAAAAGAAAAGAAAAACAGAACAAGAAGAGCTCACAATCCACGTTGGACCACAGATCGATAATCGTCGCGCGTGTAACATCGCCCTAAATGGCGTGTGAGGTTCGCTAATTACGTGAAAGGAACATCGATAATGCGTGCCCCAGAGAGAACAACGGTGCTGAGGGAAGGAAAAACAAAAAAAGAAAGGAAGGGAAAAGGTGGGTGGAAAAAAAGAAAAAGAAAAAAAGAAGAAAGAAACGCTAGTATTCGACGAGTAGTCGTGGTGAGAATGTAACAGCACCGTCGCTTCCTGTGTATTCTCCCCGTTCTCGTTGTTTCTCGTTCCTCGAACTCGAAGAGAACCTCTCGTTGCTACGTGTCGTGTATCTCGTGTTTTTTTTTTTTTTTGTCAGGGAAGAAAAACGCATTCGTTATTGTCTGTGTGCATGGTACGACGGGGGTGGAGGATGAGGGAGAAGGTCGAAGAAAAAAATAAGTGGGAGTTTCGAGGGAGAAACGCGGAGAATCTTTGATAAATTTTATCGAGAGAGAGAGAGAGAGAGAGAGAGAGAGATTGCCTCTTAACATGTTGATTGTCACGACAATGATGAGTTTTGTAAATGTTTTATTAAAATAAGATTGAAGATCGAATTGAAGATAAAAAGATTAATTTTCAATGTTCCGTTATGACAAAAGTGCCATTATTTCATGATTTCGTCGTAGTACTGTTTATTTCGAATAACATAAACGATATAAACAATACTATAATACTGTAATACTAATTTTACCGTAATGAAATATTTTATAAGAAGTAGATATTTTAAATAATTCGATAATAACGTACAATGAAAAACAGACTTTAACTACGCTCTAAAAAATTTGAAACACAATATTTTACAAAAATTAAGTATTCCGTCCCATATTCGAAACTTGTAGATTTTACCTTGGCAATCAACACATGGACAACATTGATTTCTTGTCAAATATTCCTCCTCTGGCAGATTGAACGGTGGCCAAATCGTTTTACGAATCGTTCCACGAAACAACGAATAAAAAAGAAAAAAGAAAAAGAAAGAAAAAACTGAAAAAAGGTAGATAGATTCATAGTTTGTGAAAACGCGGGGATAGTTCAATTATCCGGAAATAGGCGGCAGGTTTCGAGGTGTCGGGTTCCCGTGTAATTAAAAAGGTAGTCTTTTTAATTAATTCGTTTCAACCGCGCCCCCGTTAATCTACTTCATCGATTATGAAGCCATTACACGATCGCTGTTAATTAAGTCAGCCCAGCGTGGAGAATCGCCGACTAATTCGAACGTTTTTTCCCTCCCTTCGTGGAGGGAAAATCTTTGGAGAATGGACGTTGAACGAGAACGACCACGGAGGGTGGTCATCCTCGATTTCGAAGGAATTAGATTCGTTTGAGCTCTTCGATGGAGGCAATCTCTTGGGCATTGAGGTTTTGTGGCAAGGGAGAAAGTCTCTCTCTCTCTCTTCGTTCTATCTAACTCCGGACTTTTTTAAACTTTGAGGGAAAAGGAAGGGATCTACGTATTTGTAATTAATACACTACGCGTTTGCGAAAGGAGGAGAGAAGTCTCTTTTATCCCATTTGGCTCTGGACTTTTAAATTTAGGAAACAAATTCTGCACAACAGCAGACTAAGAA